ACAAAATATACTCAGGATAGAACTAGCTTTGCCATATCTAGATGCTATTTGTGTTAACCAATACTGGCTTCATCTTCACCTTTGTGCCAGTGGGCACACTTCCAGTGAAGGAGACTTTGGCCACGTCACGATGCTGGCACAGAAACTGGCCTGTGGCAGCCCCTCCTTGCACCACGTTGAAGAGCCCAGGAGGCACGCCAGCCTTGGTATAGATTTCAGCCAGTAGCAATGCAGAGACTGGTGTAAAGGGGGAGGGTTTAAAGACCATGGCATTACCTGCATAAAACCAAGACACAAACATAAAGAGTTTTTAAGATTGGTGACCCCCTGAGAACAGATCTAGAGGATAATTCAAAAATGATTTCAATTACTTCCTGTTCCCCCATCATGGTAGGCCAAAAATGTTATTAATATATCTTATCCTTTCCACTTTGGTTTCTCTCGTTAAGCAGACCCCAAACCATGTATTTGCCCAGTCTGAAACAATAATACCTTACACGCTTGCATATCTACACCTTTTCGTGGACCTTATCTTATTTAACACTTGCGAAAGCAGTATGAGCTAGGTATGATTAGCCCCATTTTATACGAGTTGAAATTAAAGGCTACAAAGGTTCATTTGCTGAGAGTCCCCAAAGCTAATGACTTAATTCTAAGATTATTTCTCCTCTATCACGGCTGTTTCTCAAACAAACGCGCTAAAACAAGAACGTGTAATGGACAAAAGCTCCATTTCAATCATAAAGTTCTAACAGTAATGCTTTATCAACATTATGTTTTTCTTTTTTTTAACATTGTTATTTTTCTCAAGATACAATAAGTTGTCTTTTCCCACAGATCCTTCTCTTTAAACAGTTTAAGACTTTTTTCTCTTGACAGTAGCCTTTTATTTTTAATACCTATTATGCCACAAATTCATAGGGAAAAGCTTAGAGAGGCACCTTTCTATTGAAAGTGACAAAGCTTGCTATGCCTATTATGCCATGAATTCAGGGGGAATAGGTTCCGGCACCACTGTGTTCCTGTTCCGCTGGCTCTCTTGGTTATCCTGTGTGCTATGCTGTCCGCCTATTATGCCATGAATTCACAGGGAATGGATTCCAGCAGCTCAGACTCCTTTGCATTGGTTTTCACAAAGTGGGCTTCTCTGGGTGGAGCAGGCTGGCACTTCAGTTGAACCCAGGTACCTTTCTCTTTGGCTTCCTTCTTTTTCTGGTCATTTTCCTTTTAGGAAGCCATCTCGGTTCTTAGAGCACTTAATATGCTCAATACAAACAATGATCCTCTTGGGAAGAATCTTGCCCTTAACTTGTTTGTTTACAAACAATGCCGACAGCACACTGCTAACATTGTAGACTCTTCCAGTTTTGCCAGAGTAGCATTTGTGTACCGTGCCCTTTTGAACAGTACCCATTCCCTTGATGTCTACAATGTCACCTTTCTTGTAGACTCGCATATATGTGGCCAAAGGCACAACTCCATGTTTCTAAAAGGCCTAGAGAACCTGTATCGGGGGCCTCTCCTCTTCCCCTTTGTGTTCTTCCTTTTGGTGAATTTCTGGAAGATGGAGGCCCTGGCTCAAAGGGGACAATTTAAGACTTTTTAAGTCAATTGTCTAAAGTTCCTCTGATGGAAGCCTTCTTTATCTTTCCTTTTAAGACACAAACAAAGAACAGAGCTTTATCTTCTGCTTCCTAAATGAAGGCAAACTCCTAAGTGTTACCTCTTATATAAAAATTCTTGTCCAAAAAGGAAGAAAACTTATGAGTATCGCAAATCTAATTCAATTTAATAGGAAAAAATTTTAACTTTCTTTTCACATACAAAAATAAATTAATAAAAAATAGAAGTATCTAGTCATGATTCATGTGTACAACCTTAACTGTAAGCCCTTTGAGGGGAAAGGGCAGGAATGCAACCATGCCCTCTGAGGCTCTGAATATTCCAGAGCAGGCCCCTTCTGATTTCAAGTGTGTGTTTATGGAGGGGAGAGGGGTAGAGAGAACGGACAGCCCACAAGTGGAGGAATGACTCATTCTCACCGCAAGCTAAGGCTGGGGCTGACTTCCAAGAGGCGATCTGGAAGGGGTAGTTCCAGGCTCCTATTCCCACACATACTCCAAGTGGTTCTCTTCTGGTATAACCAAAGGATCCACCCGGGAGCTGAATGTGTTCACCTACGAGAAAGCAGGAGGAAAGCAGAATGCAGGCCTGCACTCCCAGGATGTCCCAGGCACCCACACAGGGTACCAGTCGGACTGGCATCCTTGTGGCTCCCAGGACAGCAGGCTCGCCCCCTCTGTGCTTCTGTTCACTCCAGGCACTCTTACACTGGCTCCCGCATACTCCCGCCACACAGAGAAACCCACCTGTCCTTCAAGTGCATGCCTGGTCATCCAGCTTGATTTAATTCTCCAAAAATGTACTGACTACTAGATAACTTAGATGAAATGAACAGAAAAGAAGAGAAGACTCAGCAGCAGGGGAACATTCTGAGGACCCTGAAAACTCAGCCTTCTGGCTTCCCCATGCCCCTCCTGGGCCCTACAACCATCAATATGAATTGTTGCAAACCTTATAAATTGTCAAAAAGTATTTTGCTAATGAGGTAAAACTGGTAACTAGGACATACTGATTCTTGTGAGAACTGGTTTGTTAGCAACGTGGTCTAAAGCTCAGATACCATGCTAGATGCTTTCCATTAACTTTCATTTCATCTTTAAAACAACTCAAGAAGGCAGAGATTATTATCACCAGTTAAGATAAAGAAAGATAAAGTAATTCCCAGGCCATTCAGGTAGCAAGTGATGTACCCAGGACTTCAACACCAGTCTGTCTTAATTCCATAATCTTTGCCCTTCTCCGCTGGGTTCTGTTCCTGTCAGCCGGTCACAGGGGCCAGGTGAGGACGTACCAGCCATGGACCCAGCCAAGCCTGCATAGTACTCCAGGCACTGCCAGGAAGTGTCAATGTCGAAGCGGGCCTCAAAGATGGACTTGCCGTTGTTGATCGTCTCCACAGTGGCAATTTCCTCCTTCCGTTCCTGCA